AATAACATGGTACCCGAGGCGAGTGGTACACCATAAGCTCGTAAAAAAGGCTCGCGTTAAAAAATCATAAGGGTTGCGATCTAGCGTGTCATCCCCTTAAATACTTTCCGGCATTGCGTATTTTCTCTCTTTTTCTTTTTTTCTTTTTTCTTTTTTCTTTCTTCTTTTTTCTTTTTTTTTTCTTTTTATCAAATCAAGAAACTCCTTCGTTGGTTGGAAATTCGAAAAAGAAAATGTCGAATTATGTAATAACTAGAATGACTCACTTTGTGGACTCGAGATTCTATTACTTTAAAAGTGGGCGGAAAGTGGTAAACAAGTGCCATCGAAACGACTTGGAACCCCAGAGAGTGAGAAAGCGGAAGAAGACACCGCGGAAAATACGCGCGCGTTTCGTAAGCGAGCGCAAGCGCGAGCTAGAAGACCGATTTCAGAGAGCGACGATGGTTTATGACCCGTAACGCTTCGAGCAAGCCCCTTCCTGCGAAGCATCCATTCACCTTCTCTCTCTCTCTCTCTCTCTCTCTCTCTCTCTCTCTCTTGCTCTCTCTCTCTCTTTTGGCACAACGTGACTCCATCCCTCCGTAAACTCGATCCAATATATTAGGGTTAGCTTCCACGAGAAGAAGCTATCGATGCTGTTATTCGGAATCGACATTTTCAACTTTTTGATCTGGGAACGTCGAATCGAATCGATTCCTCTTTGAATCGTATTTTAATTTAAATTTTTTTTTATTTTCTTATAACGTTTTGAGAATGGTCTAAACCTTCATGTAAACCTTCGAGACAGACCTTTTCGATTTCCCAAGTCCTTAGAACTTGAAACTACCTTTCCACGATTGCTCGAGATAAGGGGTGGGTCTCGTCTGTTTGGAGATTGGGGTTGGCAACTTTGAAGGATATTTTTTATTCATGTGACGTATTCGAGGGCGCGGAAAAAACACATTCTCCTGATCAGAGTCAAAATGGAGACCGTCGTAAGAACGTTGGTCCTTACATTCTGCAGGATGTTCAATTTTAAATTTTCTTCGACCAATGCCTATATTCGTTCTTCGCGTCGCGAACATGGAAGTCCTAGTCATGAATTTTCGATTTTCTTATATAGAATTATTGAATTTTTTGAAATAAAACTTATTTTCGATATAAAAATAAATATATGTACTATAATAAAAGTAAATATTATATATATATATATATATGTATATATAGATATATATATTATATACATACATGCATATATATGTACATACACGACATATTTCGTTTACCGCGTCGCGAATATGAAAGCCTCAGTCATGAATTTTCGATTTTTTTTATATAGAATTATCGAATTGAATTATTTGAAATAAAACTTATTTTTGATGTAAAAATGAATATCTGTACTATAATGAAGATATATATATATGTGTGTGTGTGGGTGGGTGGGTGGGTGGATGTGTATGTCTGTATATATATATATATATATATATATATATATATGTTTTGCAATCTATCTCGGATAATATATTTTATTAAATTATCAGCAACGTTATAACATTAAATATAGTACTAGGAGAGCAAGAGGTCGAAAGAGGAGCGAACGTTTCGGTATCGCCTCCGGCCATTAAAGGTTTTATCGATTATTTATATGCAGCCATGTTACACAAACGAGGTGCGCACGTAATTTCTCTGGCACGATCGCGCCATACGCTTTATCCTTCCTATCGTAAACGGCAAGTATGAAAGGTGAAGGTTACATAGTTGTTTCATCTTTTGTATGGCAAATAGTGAAATTAGAAAAGAGGAAAACAAAAAAGAAGCTTTTTCACTAATTGCCCTCTCAAAATCGAAAAGGGTCAATGGAAAAAATTGCAGGAAAATCAAGCCGAGTATTCCCATAGGATATCAACGAAATCCTGCGGATCGAAGGTTTTTCAAATATTTAACAGCAATATCCAATTTCGTCTTATGTATCCATGTGCCTCTTCATGCCTGATTCGACGGAGCCGTCATTCGACTAAAAGCTATTCTTTCTATTACAATTCTACTTATTATATCCCATAAATCGAATAGCCGACCAACTTTGATATTCTTTTTTATTAGAATATCGATCCCATCGATATCGATTTCGTAAAATCGATCTTAGAACTTTAACGCATTGAGAACGATAGAAAATGCTTTATTTGGAACGCAAGAAAACGATTTCCTTGACGTTGCCTTCGGCTTTATCGACGTTCATCGAAACCCTTTTCGCTCGTTAGCTTCAAACGTAAAGAAAGAGAGAGAGAGAGAGAGAGAAAGAGAGAGAGAGAGAAGAGTAGTAAAGGCTATCAATGACACGACGATATGGCTCGTCGGTTTTAATAGCGACAGCCCAGTCGGCCGACTGAAAGCAGCAAAATGGAACTTCTAAATGGATAAGATATAAGAGTTACACTCGAGCGAAAGGAAGAATTAGGTATCTGATGTATGAGACGCCGTCGTCTCTGCTCCGGCTTCCGGAGAAACATGCGCCGCGTAA